CGGAAACTTTTTTGTACAAATTTTCTCATGACTAGTAAGACATGGACTATCTTTACCATAAGGTCCATAAAGCATGTAATTCATAACTTATCTTTGTATTTGTGAATCAAGTGGAATTTCCACTGAAATATATTTATCTGTCTATAGTAGTAAATAATTTATTGCATAGATGCAATGATACAATAATGTAAAAATGAGATAATTTTTTTTTTTTTTAATTCAATGGTAAACAAAAGCAATGACTTTACCAAAAATATTGTATATATACATCCAAAGCACATGCATCTATAGTGATTCCTGGTAAAAACGTAGGAAGTTGAAAATTTGAAGGTATTCTACAGCCTCAAAAGTAATGAGCATTATGCAGTACTAGAGGTTATAAAAATTACGAGTTATTTGACTCTTTTTTTGAAATAAGACATAATAACACAGTAACATCATTTTTTGTACATAATAAATGTCTTGCATCACTTGTCACTGCTAATATTGTTTACATATTGAAAATAAGAGCATGAAATCAATAATCGGAATAATTTATTGTTGTCTCACTCGGCTAGTATTGTACACTATTTTATAGAAGCTTGTGCGTACAGTTACTATTAAGGACAATATTCTTTTGTAATAAAAAAACACAGATGTCATGATCTAACATTGTTCAAGATTGAGCAAAATAACGGACTGTAGAATTTAGAGCCGTATATGAAAGAGCGAGTAGGAGTTTAGAGTAGCCAAGGTGTTGATAATGCACAAAATAACACTTTCACTTCAAACAAAACAAAGATTGATTTTATATTTGAACACACACAAAATGGACATAATAACACTCGGTTTAACAAAAGGTATTTGCTACTTCTTTTGGTGCTTGAACAAAAGAGATAGATTTATTAAGTGAAAGAATTACTCGAACTTAATTTTGAGTCACGCAGAAAATTCAATTGAAGAGTATAAAGTGTCGTGATGAACGACTATCTGCCTTGTTCAAAAGCACAGAGCTCATGCTGCGAATCAGCCTGTTTTCAGTTCGAGCAATCGGTGCAGACTGACCATGACGGCAAAGGACAGTTCATGCAGAGCGCTATGAGACGGCACGCGCAGTGAGTGGTGGTCACGCAGGACCGTGGAAACAAGCCATTTATGGCCTAATTTTACATTGCTTTCTGGCATGCGAGAATATAATTTTAAGAAAATTCACTCGCTCACAGAATTTACGTCAATATATTGATAATACTTTTAAAAGAGAACAATTAGTGGAAGAAAAACCTTTGATTCGAATTTCAAGTCCTTTTATGGCTTATAAAGTGAGATTTTAATAATTTTATGATTGAACTTTTAACGTGCAGTCTTATGAGAATCAGTACTGTTCTGATACATAACCTGCAATATCTGGATAATCGACGTCAAGATTTTGTTAAAAACTTTTTTGAAAATAGCTAAAAACTTGATGATTACGTTGCTATAGTCTTATCTTCACTTATGGCTCATGGAATGGCAATAAATTAGTAAATAACATAATCCTCCTTCGACAGCTACCGTTAGTACGTCGAGTTATATCTGTATATATAGTGACGCAGGTTACAACACTGCTGATCTTATACGTCAAAAAGGTTAGGTACGAGTAAACACCCTCAATAGCTCTATCTCGGGAGACAACGTTTTGATGTTGTACAAACATACTTGGCTTGTTTTTTTCAAAACCATAGGAATCACATTCATATAATATAATTTACTTTGACGTCGATATGTAAATCCTCATGCATTAATCTAACTACTATCATAGTATAAGTTTTTTACTAAAATATTAAACAACTTCCAGTTAATTTAAATTCATTGAATTCCTAGCTATAGAGTTACGATGGATTCGTTGCGGTTAAAGAGATAAACTTCATTATAGAAAAGGTTAAAAATGCTACGGTATTTTTTAAAACTTGGAATTTTGTTTTAAAAAATTGGCCACCATATTAAAACCAAATATTTTAAATTTTTAAAATCTGACATAGTACTTTTCACTAGCAACGTTCCTTAGTATT